GCTGGCTGGGGAATTCTGGGAGTTGAAGTCCACACATCTTAAGCTTGCCAAGTTCAAAAAACACTGGTCTAGGATATTTTGCTAGGCACTACACCATATTTCTCAATCAAATTGTTTTTCTGAAGTTATTGGCTGGGCTTCCACAACACTCTAGACTAGGCTTAATCATAATATAGTTTGTTTTTTGCCTGCACCAAGTGATGTGATGTGCCAGGATGAAATAAGGCAGGGTAAAAGAAGGTCCCAGCTGGTATGGCTCGCACTGCAGCACGCACCCACCTGTGGCACCCACCCACCCTGCCTGAAGCTCTCACCCGCCAGCCTGAGGGACATTTCCATGGCGTCTCCCACACATGGCCAGGACAGTAAGCCCAGCGGAGGGGAGGCAGGCGAAGACGACAAAGGTCAGCTGCGGGTGGAGGAGACGATGGTCGTAAATGCGGGCAGGCCCAAATTCGTGACCATCAGGGCACTGCTATGGCCAGAACTTTAAGGACTGGTCATAAGTCCATTTTTTCACCACCGTTGTAACTTCAAACGGTCGCTGAACGAAAGGAAGTTAAACAAGGACTACCTGTATACACAAGTATATACAGTATTTGTTTTTCTTAATTGTTTTTTATAAAAATCTTTTTTCTTCCTTTGGTTTTCTATGCTTTTTAAATCTTCCCCCCCTTCTTTTTTTTCTTCCTCCTTAGACAGTTTAGCATAGGGTTTTTTTTCCTCCCACATATATTAAAACCTGTATACTGTACACATATACAAGTCTGTACAGTGGAAGAAAACCTCTATGCTACATTACTATATCATGTATTCCATTAAGTTTCTTTTCAAAGAATATATTGCTTTAAACAAATGTAATACTGTTATATAGTTCTGGAGCGCCCTGGTTTCTATATACAGTGGTACCTCGGGTTACGAACGCGTCTGTTAACGAACTTTTCAGGTTACGACCAGCTCCGGCCGCAAAATTTTACCTCGTTTTGCGAACTCCGCCTCGGGGTACGAGCAGGATACCCAGCCATTTTCCCGCCCCTGACACGTGGTCCGTGGCCATTTTCCCGCCCCTGACACGTGGTCCGTGGCCTTTTTCCCGCCCCTGACACCTGTTCCGTGGCCATTTT